CGTCATCGAGCTGAACGTGTGCCAAGAACTCGGAGGTGCCGGAGTAACGGTGCTTGGATCGGTTGGACCGGGAAGACGTACGACTACTTCCTCTATGTTGCGTCAACGCTTCCACTTCGGTCTACGAGGGTACGTAGACAACACTCTCCCCTCTCGTTGCTATGCATCACCATGATCTTGCGTGTGCGTAGGAATTTTTTTGAAATTACTACGTTCCCCTACAACTACCCCCTCCCCGACAAAAAAAACACCAGGGAGTTGCAGTCACGTTGTAGACATGCAATTGCAGTCGAGGGCAACACTTGCAGTTGCGTTTGTAGTACAAAAATGCAATTGTCCCCCTCCCCCCCAACAAAACAACACTAAGTTGTAATCGTGTTGAAGACATGCAATTGCAGTCGGAAGCGACACTTGCAGTTGCGTGCCTAGTGACAGACATGCAACTTTCCCCTCCGACCAAACACTAGTAAGTTGCAACTGAGCTGAAGATATGCACTTGCAATCAGGGCGACACTTATAGTTGACCGACAAGAAAGTACTTTTAAAAAGGAAAAAAGAAACATAAGTTGCATGCGGATGACATACATATACAATAGCGTGTGGCTGATGCGCATGCAACTCCGTATGATCGATGGATGTGACCGATGACAATACTCTTGAAAGGAAAAGAAAAGGTTGCATACCGATAGTTGACATGTAATTACACACAAAAACAAACCGCGTGGTACTCCCTCCGTTCCTAAATATTTGTCTTTCTAAAGATTTCAAATGATCATCACATACGAATGTATCTCTACTCCTATAAAAATGTCAGTTGGTGGTGATGGTGTGCCTGCCTTCGCGCAATGTGCACCGTTCGATCTGAATGTATGGCTGAGACTGAGATGGGTTGTGGCCAAGCCACATGACTCACACTTTTGCAAGAACACCCCCGTAATGGACAGAACTTTGGGGGAAGAGTTCGGAAACACAACGCCAATAGTCGAGACGTTTCTCCGCCTCTCCCGACGCAACAAAGGAGCTTCGAGAACCCTGCCAAATTCCTCGCCGCCGGCTCCTCGCCTCTCTTTCCGGGCGACCGCAGTAGTTGATTGGAGCGGGCAAGGATCCCTCCTGTTATATAGCTATGCTTGTAGATAGGGGATCTTAGCAAATCGGAATTGGGTTTGAGCTTGCCCCAGTATCTCTCCTTCTAGATCTGACCATGCAGCCCGGCCATCGGAGATGGAGACATGGCGGTGGTTGCTTGGCATGCCAAGTTTCTCTACACTGCCATCCCACACGAAGTCTAGGCTGCCGTTGTCAAGGACATCGAGCTACGGGCCGTCCATGCCACTCTCAGCTGGCGCGGCGTGCCCAATGCCGGTGCCGATGTGTACGCCAATATCTGCCTCCCGGCGGCCGCGTACTCCGCGCTCACGGAAAGCAGCGGCTTCCGCCACAGAGGAGGAGTCGAGGACTCAAGTGTTTATTCTGATGGGCAGTACATGCTCTGAACTGTAAGTGTTATTGTGCCGAGGCCACCCCGCTTCAATTGTCGACTTCCAGGAATATGCTTTGTTAGCAGCACAATCATGCTGACACAGCATCATCCGGTGCAGCCGAGCGTTGGTGCGTGTCGCCGAGGAGTCTTCCTTGGCGACGATTCCGCGGCTGTTGCCATGCTCTGCCTGCACGCTTTGCGCCGCAATTTCATTTGCCAGGAGGTGCGCACACCTATATTTCATCCCCAATATTGCGTGTGTGATATGTTTATTGATCAACTTCGGTTCTCCTGTAGTTTAATAATCTCTTTTAAGAGATATAGGCTAATCAAATAGATTAAAAAAATTGTAATCAGTCACTAGGGCCATTATCTAATGGGAAAACAGTTGTTTGAAGAGGCTTTGGCAGTGCTGTCACAATGAAATGCAAAAGTGATTTCGCAAGAGAATTGGAGGTGATGGCCAGGTTCTGCCATGTCAACCTTCTTCGCCTCCATGCTTACTGCAATGAAGGCGACGGGCGGATACTGATGTACTGCTACATGTCAGAACAATAGCATGGATATCAACATATTTGGTACATATACAGATGTACTCATATAATTTGCCCTGCCTATGATCAAGTTCTTTTCTGCAATTGTTGGTTACTATTGTTCTGTGATCCAATACATAAGTAGTAAGTTGCGTGTAGATGAAGTTCTGGATAATAGAACTGCAATTTTGGACAATATACCTTTAGAGGAAGCTTGTATCTCGACATGCTTGCCATATGAAAGCTCATGGATGAGGAATTTCCTCTTCGTATTATCTGCGGGATGAACTCCAAAATTTTGTGGAACTAGCATTTCTAATAGTACAAAGCTGCGACCTTACTGTCAATATTTATGTGGATGGTCTCTGTTTTAAATTCCTAATACAAGTAATGCACTTCAAGAAGTTCTATTTATCTCGTGTCCTTGCTGCCAATAGCTGATTTGGTTTCATCGTGAGCACCCAAGTACTGATTTGGTTACCCAAGCACTGCAGTTCTATTGCTGTTCATGGTTGTTGGCCTATCAATGGTTATTGTATTTGGTAGTTGTATTTGGTAGAAATGGGCTAGGGATGTTTTGGATGTGATGAGAAAATATGTTCTACAGTGGAGATCTGTGAGTTGGGAGCCGTGAGTTGAGTGATGGGTGGAGACGATATAGGTAAGAAGACTAAGACATGTAGAAAATATCACAATACAGTTAATCGGCATTTGCATGTTATTGTTCCATACTGACGCACGGGCACCTTACTCTCCTGAATAAGCAAAAGGAAGGCCAGCCCAACTTCATTGCAACTTTTACAAAGAAATGGTCTACAAAGAAGTTCTCGGCATGTAGTACAAGGTATGAATAAAGTGCAATTTCGTGGCTGTAAAAATTCAGTCTTTTTAACTAGGGTCAGTCATCTAAAATTTCTTCCCTATGTATGGTTATGTAGTTTTTGCAGAGAAGTTTCAGAAAAATAACTTAGATACTCCCTCCGTCCGGAAATACTTGTCGGAGGAATGGATGTATCTAGATGTATTTTAGTTCTAGATACATCTATCTTTATGCATTTCTGCGACAAGTATTTCCGGACAAAGGGAGTACTTGCTTTAGTGTTCCTGATATTTTGTAAAAAAACAAATCATACCTGTGTTTGAATTATTTTTTGGTAGTTCTCTTTGTTACTCCGTCTGTTCAAATTTTTTGGATGACGCCTACAGCAAGTCTCTTGGTCATCGACGCCCTTCCTTTGCTAGGTAGCTCCACATCCATTTTTCCGGTGACACGACAAATATTTGTTTCCTTACTGTGTGTTATTGGTATATTTTTTTGTTGCCGAAACATGGTTGATGTAAGCAAGTTACAAGAGGTCCAGTATGACTGTGTGTGTGTGTGTGTACATGTGCACTCTCCCCTTCTATATTCACATGATTTCAAAGCATGTTTTAATGTACATTTTGTTTATTTGCTCAGTAAAAATGTATTGCAAGTGCTGTTCATTTTCTTGCTTTGTTCAAATATACCATATGTTTGATTGTGCTTGATGTGTACCTATCAACAATATATCATCATTTCGATCAATGTCTCAGTATATTTTCTATTGTCCATAGCAAACTTCTGGTTCCTAACTATGTCTCCGTACCTTTTTTATTGTTTGTAGCAATATCCGGTTCCTGAATATGTCCCGGTACTTCTTTTATTGTCCATAGCAACGTATGGTTCCTGACTATAACTTAAATTCAACTAATTTTGTGTGATCCCGTGCTATGCATAGCACGGGCATCTTACTAGTATAGACATATTTTAAAGTATAGAGTTACTCATTTTACTTTATATGTAATCATCATTTAAAACCTTTAAAAAGACAAATATTTAGAAACAGAGAAAGTAATACTTATGAAAAAACAAAACTAATAGAAAAACAGAAAAAGAAATGAGAAAAGGAAAAAATGGGAGCAAAGCAGGTAAACAACCCAGAGCGAAAGCAGCAGGAAGCAACGACAAAAAGGCAAAAAACAATGAAAAAGGCCCGGCTGAACACCCGCCCAACACAAAAGCAACACACACGCACGCTACAAAAAGGTCCAACAAACAACAAGGAAACGGGCTGTTCGCCTTATACAGGCCGAAACAAAGACAAACACACCTGGCGTGAATCTTAAAGCGAAAAAAATATCCAACGGCTAACTCGTCGATTAAGACTTCACAAAATCTCATTCGACTGAGTTTTAGCAGCTCCGTTTTTTATTTCTCAACGTGTGTTTTGATTTGAACGCTGCTATGCAGACGACAAACATTGGACAATTTGCAGACGATGTAGCACAGGAAGCTGTTCACGTGAAAAGCAAAACTGAACAACACCGTTCGATCCAACATCGTCCAGCTATCGGCCAGGGTACTGTCGTCCGTATAGTAGTTTCGTTTGATTTTGGATCTGAACTTTTTAGGGTTAGTAGACATACGTCTTGTGAACATTCACAATTAAAAAAAACAATTTTGTATTTTTTGAGACATGGTATCATGATCATGTCTTATCACACACACTCCATCACCAGGGTGACATCACGGCGCCGGACTCCGGTCACCACAGCCGTCCGTCTGCCCAAAGTCACAATTATCTCTCTCTCTCCTCTCGGCGCACGGACCGACGAGGAAAAAGATACCGCCGCTAGCGACGTGCCCCTCCCGTCCCGGCCACGTGCCGCTCACGCCAGCCACGTCGTACCGGCTCCGCTCCCAAACCCGGACCCTTCTTCTGGCGCGGTGTCGACGACGGCTCCGATCGAACGCCCTCCCCATCGGACGGCCCCGCGACACCCCTCGCGCGCCTATTTAGGGCCCTCGTCCCGGCCCCGGCATTTCGCTCCCGTTTTAGCTGTAGCAGGAAGGAGGAAAATTCCACCGAGTCACATTCGCATTCCCCCCCACCAGCCAGCTTCCAGAAACCCCCCGTTCGTTCGTTCCTTCCTTCCTTCGATTCGCAGGCGGTTCGCGAGCGATGGCGGACGCCAGCCCGCAGGCGGTACGCGCCACGAAATCCCTCCCCTCCCCCCTTGCTTCTCGGCTCGATTCGGCGCGGAGTTTGCGCCGATTTGGTCCTGAATTTGGGCGTTTCGTGTTTGGTTGGTTGTTGCTTGCAGGAGAGGCCGAGGCTGAGGCGCCTGGAGTTCGTGCGCGTGGTGTCGGTGCAGGCGGCCGTGTGCATCGCGGCGCTCTACGCGCTCGCCAGGGACCACTCCGGCTCGCTCCGCCCCAGAGTCGACGCCGTCGAGTCCGCCGTCAGGCGCGTCGCCGGCCCCGTCGCCCGCCGCCTCCACGGCGTCCCCCTCCACGTCCTCGCCTTCGTCGACCGCAAGGTGCGTACGGTCCCCCGCACGTCTCGCGAGCCGCCCCGCTTCCCCCACCGTAGCTTAGGGTCGACATCGGGTGCGGCTGCCCTCGTTTCGCGGCCCATGGAGTGGGGTACTGCTGCTGCCAAACTGCCATGCTTAGCACGCGCCGCTGGATTTTCTAGCGGTGGACATAACCTCTGCAGTTTCCCGTTCTATCGAGAATTTTCCCGTTCTGGTGCGTGGAGTGGGGCCTCGTTTGGTGGGCAGAGCTGTGTGGCGGAGAATTCTCCCGTCCCGGTGCGTGGGATCTCCCCGTGTCTCGATCCCGACTAGATTCCTTTGATTCCGGCGCACTGGCGGAGACCCCGAGGTGGCGCCGCGGGGAATCACATGCGTCGATTGCATTTCATTTTGTTTTTGTCACGGCAATCCAGCGACACTTGTCGTCAATTTCAAGCATGGCTCTATTAGAATGATGTTTGCTTTGTGGCTGCTAATGAGTGGCGTGCATTGGCAATGGCAGGTGGACGACGCGGTGCATGAGCTGGGCCGGCACCTCCCGTCGGCGGTGAAGTCCGCGTCGGCGCAGGCGTCCCACGCGGTCCACGCCGTGCCGGAGCTGGCCAGGGAGATCGCCGACGGGGCGAGGCGGTCCGGCGTGAAGGGCGTGGCCAAGGACGTGTACGGCATGGTCCAGCCGGTGGCCAAGGACCTCTACGTGCGCTGCGAGCCGGTGGCCAAGGACCTGTACGCGCGCTACGAGCCGGCGGCCGAGCACCTCGCCGTCTCCGCCTGGCGCTCGCTCAACGGGCTGCCGGTGTTCCCGCAGGTGGCGCACATCGTCGTGCCCACCGCCGCCTACTGGTGCGAGAAGTACAACAGGGTGATCTCGTTCGCGGCCGGGCGGGGGTTCCCCGGCGCACGGTTCCTCCCCGGCATCCCCATCGAGCGCATCGCCAAGGCGTTCGGGACGAACTCGGCCGGGGAGCGCTCGCCGGATGCCAAGCCGACGGGACTTGATGCCCAGACCTCCGAGGAGCGCTCGTCCGATGCCAAGCCTATGGGACTGGATGCCCAGACCTCCTCCGAGGAGCGCTCGTCCGATGCCAAGCCTATGGGACTGGATGCCCAGACCTCCTCCGAGGAGCGTTCGCCCGATGCCAAGGCTGTGGGACCTGATGCGCAGACCGGGGAGGAGAGCTCGCCGGATGCCAAGCCTGTGGAATCTGACGCCCAGACCGCCGGGGAGAGCCAGCCGGAGGCGGCCAAGCCTATGGATCTTGGGGCCCAGGCCTAGGTGTGCCGCCGTGCCGCTATCATGCCCTGGTGGACGAGGTATGTCGCCCTTGGCCGGAACTGAATAAGATAATGTGGACCCAGGGCTAAGAAGATACTGGCATCCTGGGTTTACCGTCCTAGATACGTGCTCACGGGTGATGCTAATGATAATGATGTTGTACTAGCTACTATGCTTTTGTGTGGTGCGCGTCTCTAATGTTCTCCGTGCTTTTGTACAAAAAGTTGCTTGATGTCGCCTTCGTCGACTTGATCCAATGCAATTGGCTTCGTCCTTTTATGGGTTCGCTCGTCTCTGTGGACTGTGGCCACTAGTTAAGGTAAGGGAAAAAAAATTATATGAGACCAGATCTCACGGTTAGCAGGTGAAACCCGTCTTGATGGATGATACGTGGCATTCACAAATCACAAAGCATCTAATCTCGCCCTTGATTTAGGTGTGGGGTGGGGGGATGTTTTGAGATTTGTGAATGCCACATGTCATCCATCAGGATGGGTCTTACGTGTCTCATAGAATTCTTTTCCCTAGTTAAGCACTGTTTTGGTTTTGGTGCGTCGTTTTCCTTTTCTTCCCTTGTTTATGCTCCGGGGTCTGTGGGCGGGTGGTGTCGAAAGCGCTTGTCGTCGTCGTCGACAGGTTCCGGCGAAACCATCCGCGATTTGCGATCAAGTCCTTGTGCTCGCTGCCGTCCCCTTCAATCCGCTTGCCTCGTCTGGCCGCCGAGCTGCTGCGTCGTTTTCCTGCGATGGACGGACGGATGGTTTCGAGTTGAAGTTGCGCACCATCCGTCCCGCGCTGCTCTCCTCTTCCGGCGCACTCGCACGGTCCCCAGGCCCGCCCCGAACCCGACCGAAGTTACCAAACCGTCTCTGCATTACTCCCACGCGCGCGATCTGTGAAGCCCATATGAAGCGGGCTTCACAGATCGCAGCCTCCACGCGACCACGTTTTCGATGCTCGACGCGTGCGCCGGCGGACGGAACGGCCCTGCTGCTCTCTCCTCCGGTCTCCCTGGCTTCCACGGCAGAGCAACGGGACACACACGCCAGCGCCAATTATCGCCTCTTCGCGACCGATCACCGATGTACACGGCGTGCGTCAGGATTTCATCGTACGTGGACAGCGGCGACGGCGACGGCACGGCAAAGCAACAAACAGGGCATGCATCGCCGCACGTACTGTGTACAAGGCCGGCAGGCCGGCGTCAACGCTTCGGTCTGCCGAGGTACACCCGAGTGAGTGATGATGGTGAGGGGCAGCCTAGGACAAAACACCGGGCGACGACGGCCGGCCGTGGCCGTTGTACCGACAGGGGCGAAGCCTTGATTGTGGAATCGTCCCTGTTACAGAGTGAAAGTAAAAGAGACACGTAAAAGAGACACATGAAGAGTCTAAATGATCCACTCATTCCATTGCAATGTAGGAGACACACTTATATACATGGTGAAGGGGTGTGTTGGGGAGACACTTCTTCCCCAACAGACACTTCCTGGGAGGCATCCCTCCCATATAATTTATCACATGTTTTTATTTCTCAACACTCCTCCTTGATCAATTCGTCATATGTATATTGCAAATTGAAAACTCCTTCAAAAACCCTGTGGGAAAAATTGAGAAGAAATCTTATAATAATATGTCATCGAAAACTCCTTTAAAACCCAGTGAAAAAAATATAAAGAGAAACCAATATGGCATATATCCGCACTTGCATTTATATATTGTCTCGTTAAAACCCTTATATGAGAAACCATGGAAAACTCATAAAGGAAAAAAGAGTACAATATGAGTGATTTGAGGATCATCAATGGGAGGATCACCAATGGGTTATAACTTGGGATTTTACTCCCCCTGAATTTTGCAAACCTCAAGAATATCTCATACCAATTTCACGAACCTAGTTCTGGAATGTAAACATTGATAAAGATATTGTGTATATCACAATAATCTGTTTGCATATTATCCTCTTACATTCCTGTAATTCACAAGGATAAATATAACCCATAAGCAATACAAGTGACATTATCTTGGTAGATAATGATAATCTCCACATGTTCACATGTGGCTAATCATTCTATGTAAGTCATCCACATTTTGTGATGCTTCAAATAAAGTAGAATGATTACTCGAAGGACTCGTTTAGAGTCTATTCTGAAGACTTCCCTCAAAATCCTCTTCCAGCAAACCTAGTCTATGATATGGCATTGTGGGATCAAATAATTTGCCACTATCAATATATCATACCATGGTCTCATCTTGATTTTCCGGATGAAATTGATCAAGACCATGTGTGCCCTGGATATATCTGAGGATATTCCTTACACAAACCTTATATCTTTCGGGGAATTACACTCTCAATAAATTGCCAAAAACTGTAGTGTCAGGTCTGACATATTTCGCAAGATATATGAGTATTTTGATGGTATTTAGATATGGCACTTTGTGTCCAACTATCACTTCACCATCTCCCCTATGTCTCAAGGATCTGTATCCCATATTAGGTATAATATGACCATATGTGTTTTTGATATAATATATCCATATTGAACTTCTCTAATACTTTCGGATATATGAAGACTGGTATCTTAGGGGGATATGCTCAAGTCGTAAACTTAGCATAATTTGGTTTAACCCAAATATCCGTCTTGACATGATTGTGTGTATTTCATGTCTTATATAGACTTTGATTATAAGATCATCAACACCACAAATTAAGGTGATGTAAAATCCGATTAAGGATTTCTTCATGAATACACGTCAACAATCATTAGTATGAGAGTAATCCTTGTCAAGGAATAACTCACTTAGTCGGTTGCACCACACAATTCTCCGACTACTTCAAGTCATAGAATGACTTCAGAAGTTCCACACATGCATGTTGCGATTTACCTCTGGATTCAGAATATTAAGTCATTCAATGACTTCAATATATACATCCAAACTAATTGACCCATGGTAGTATGTAGACATTACATACATCAACCGTATGGATCTGTACTGCCATTAACATTCAGTATTGAAACATAATTCCACTTATACCAAAAAGGTATGCTACATCGTAACTGATGTCGGGTCTCTGCGAAAAACCCTTGTGCTACAAGCCTCGCTTTCTCACCACCTCATTTATTTTCGTTTCCAAACGAAAATTTACTTCTCTTCCCTCTGGAAGATACTTATGAGGAGCAGGTTTTACAACGGTAAATACCGCTCTTTTGATGAGCGAGTGCCACTCTTCCTTAATTGCTTCCTTTCATTTGAACCAATATAAGTGCAGACAACACTTTTCATGGATTTTGGTTCAGGGCCCAAAAGGATTCTAGCAATTCTCAAGAAGAATTTTATGTCGACATATGTAGACTTTCTCATATACGATTCTCATGAATCAATATCATTGTGGAATTCTTACTATGCCTCTTAACTCCTTGTGATTTCCCACAATAACGAAGTCAAGGTGTTTCGATTTCCCAACACCTAAAAATGTGTGCACATATGTGTTGGACTTTGGATGCCGCGCATCCCTTAAGTGTCATTCAACCCGAGGTTGAATCATATTTACTGATCAAGGGGTCAATCTCCTTTGTTTCCGCTAAAACTTATGAGAACTTAATCTCATGTGACCACAATTCTCCCCCTCTTGGTCTCATCTAGGGAGACGAGTGGTTTATTAGGTACCTTCACTTGTTCTGGTACTTGACCATAGTGACACCTTTGTCATCAGTAAATATACTTGGCAGATTATTTGCAATATGCTGCAAATTTCTCATAACTTGAATCTGCAGTTCAGATTCTTAAGTACGTGGACAAAATGTCTATGACATTTGTTATCCATTTCCTGGCATTCTTTGTGGTACTCATCTCTCCCTAATGCCAGAAAATGTTCTTATTGCAAAAGCAATCAGCGTATGGGCTGCAAATAACTCCCTTGTACGGGTTAAGGTATTCGATGGATTAACAATCATACCAAAGTTATTTCTCACATAGATCCCAAACATATGTGAAGGCCCATGATATACGCTGGGGTGATGATATCGGTATACAACCGAATTACCGCAGATGGGAAATACTTCACTTATTTCCACGTACAAACTGCAAGGGGGTGCAATATCAGTTGATTTTATTTAGACCAAATATGCGGAGTGTGAGACCGCATGTTACCATCAACAAAATGTTGGTAAATCACAATTCTGCAACATTGGCCAAGCAATATTGAATCTCTTTCATAAGAGATCAAGCCAAACCATTCTGGTTATGTACTATATACTGAATATAACCATTGAATGCTTGTGAATCAATTTCAACGACATTTGCATTCCAGTGGAATTATCCCTCGTTAGGATAATTTGCTCTAAATTCGTCAATTTGAGCAATTAATTCAGTAAACACATGGTTTGTGTGAATGATACACATCTAAGACCATCTTTTAGCTGCGTCTATTAACACCATGAAGTACCAACATAACCCAGATAGTGATTGAATAATCCGAACATATTCTTGAATGCAATCAAGAATATTGGCTGGCTCATTTCAAATTTTAAGGTGAGAGTGCCTTAAAATTAATTCCCCAATGTCACATGCAGTCCCACAAAACAATCTCATGATTGTTGGGAATATTGCAACTTGTTAAGTTGTGGCCAACAGAATTGTCAATAATTTCTCTAATCGTCAATACCATGATGATAAAGGAGGAGAAATTATTGTGTATACAACAAGATTGAGTATAAACTGATTCATACACTCAATTATCTAAACTATCATGTCCGAGGGACAAGATGTTGCAATTTATACTATATGTAGTAGTACAATTATAGACTAATGATATTTAGGGATAACTAGGAGACTACACGAGATCTCCAAAATATCTTGGGAATATCATTCCACAAGCATATCATCAATGTAGAGGAGTCGATTCTCCTTTACCATGCCGGGATATTTTCTGGTTATTTTCCTTTTGAAGTAGAACTTTAAACTTATCCCATTAAAATCATTTGCCTCCAGTGAGCCGGTGGTATGAATCCAATACATGAGCAATTGGTTATCATTAGTACAACATTTCATACAACCACCATTTTGACAAACTTGAAAGTTGCCATTATGATCATTTAAATTAAATGATCCATTCCCTTTTGAGATATACACTCAATGTCTGCTTGTCATTTTTTCTCTTCACTTTACATTCAACTCCTCGTTGTTCTCTAACCACT